TGAGCTTTAAAGCAAAAAAAAATGTGACAACTGTGCAGTGGTCTGAATACCTTTGCAAGGTACTGTGTGGAGTTTAATTACATTTCACTTTGAGAACAGTGTTACTGTCATCTGCACCCTTCGCATCTTGGACCAGGTGTAATTGTGAGTGGCTTTTGATAAAAATATCGACACTGATGGAAACGTACAAGTGTTGAACTGTATGTTGTTCTCTTTAAAATTAATTCTATAACAAGAAGCATGATGGTCTACGTGTTTTATATGACAAAACTGAGATATATACAAATACTGGAGCTGCAATAAAGAATGGGACATAGGGAAATGTTCAGAAACATGTAAGAAAAAAATAATGAAAGATTTCCATATGAAAGATGTACAGCGATCATACAGTGATTTCAATTAACATCATACAATATAATGGAAAGATGCACAATCTATACAAGAAACAATTAAGTTTCATGACAAATGTTGAAAGGGAGATGTGTGGTTTCTTTAAAGCATTTTAAAGAAGCGGAGTGGTGGTTTTGTGGCTAAGGATCTGTGGCTGGAAGGTTGCTGGTTCAAATCCCACAGCCAGCAGAGGAATCCTACTCCATTAGGCCCCTGAGTAAGGCCCTTAACCCCAACTGCTCTAGGGGCACTGTACAACAGCTGACCCTGTGCTCTGACCCCAGGCTTCTCTGTCTATGTGTCTCATCAAGCTGGGGTATGCGAAAAGATGAATTGCTAATGCAAGAAATTGTATAGGGCTAATAAAGTTATGTTATTTCATGAATTATCCAAAAGCTGTCAATAGCACTTTGCGTCTCTGTGCTTTGAAACACCGCAGGATGGCCTATCCCTATTAAAAGGGGATCCTTAGGTCAAGCACTGCTTCAGGACTGGCTGAAACAAGTCAGATAGCTCTCCTGGTCGCATGTCTGTACATCTGAGATGGGAGGCAGACATGATAATCCGTTACCTCTGTTTAGAAACCGACCAAGTCCTAATTAGGTGTGCAATGTTCAGTGACCTCAGCTACTGAATGAAACAAATTCCACAGCTGTTAAAATGTGGAAAGGTAGCATTCCACTATCCAGTCTTCATTCATCACCGGAGTGTATAAAACAAAGCCATTATCTTGCTAGGGATTAGTACTAAGTGGCACGCAGTGTGTTGAAGATGCTGCCCTGCTACTGCGGTTATGTGACCTGCCTTCCAAAACTCAGTGCCTGGTGTTATAAGCAGTGTCAGTAACCCCTACATCTTTTATATCTAAATTGACTGCTAAACTACACTGTTTCAAAGTAGGTGTGCTTGTGGCTAAAAACATGTGTTGCTTGTATTGTTACATCTCAAATAATAAATTGCATTTCATAGTACACATGTGTTAGAACCAAACAATGGTGGGTTAGATATTTTGTAAACTGTTTTCCCAACTGCTAGTAGATGGTTGTTCTGAAGACCACAGCAAACTAATTCTTGAAGAGGGCTGGTGAATCATCAATGGCTTACTCTTACTCTTGGTTTTTTAATAAGATCATGTGCCCCTCTCTCAGTCTTCTAAATTGATTCCAATGTGTGTGTTTTAGATTGTGTATCTAAGGTTCTTGTTTTCCATGTTTTTGTTGGGTTTCTTGCTTCTTTTAAACAGTTTTTAAGATACATGAGTCCTTTTGATCCATATTTTTTAAAAAGTGACTGTTTTGTTATGACAGTTTAAATTAGAAATCTAATTAAACTTTAATCTGATGCAGCCAATTGATATGAAAAATGTCATTAATGGAATAGCTCGTTAACCTCTTTTGTTCCGTTGAAAGCCATTCATGATACAGCTTATGAAGTCCAACTACAAATGGATTTGATTGTGGCTTCAATAGCTGTTGTTGAAGCCTAGCACTCATTAAAAGACATAAAGGTAAATTGCAAGTATATGAAAATATTTTAAGAGTCAACATTAGAGTTTCACTTTGTATAACTTCCATAAATGTAGGGCAGGGAATGTTTAATACTGTACAAGCATCTACTCGAAATACAATTTGTCAACCTGATAATCTGGATTGGTGAAAGACACTGAATTGGCCATGTCAAATTGATTAATGAGAATTGACAGCTACCCTTGCTTCACTTCACTGCATGTTTAGTTTAAGATGATATACAGAGCAAATTCTGGACACACATGAAGACGTTACTATAAAACAGGTGATGAAAGCTGGGGATTTATTTCAGGTTGAGAATCACTGTGAAGTAATTATAAAGAGTTGCTTTGCCATCAATTTCATGCTAAAGTACATCATATTGACTTTTCCTCCCACATGATGAATTGAAAACAGCACAATATCCCCTCTTTTAGAATTAATCTAAAAATATGAATAGCAAACATCAACAACCCCTGAAAATGAGAAATGCTCAGATCTGTGATGGTCAAAGATAATTAAATACAACCTTCATGACTGTATGTATATTTAATAATTCGTTTTGAAATATGTACTTGCTTTTCCTCACAAAATATGAAAGTGTATGAGTAGTTCAACAAATTAATGGAAGAAGGTACTGTATTTGACCTCATCATAGAAATGTGGCTCATGGCCTCATGGCACACTTGAAAATGTCTCACTTCACACTCAAAGGAGAAAAGGTCTTGTTTGTCTTTTAGGCCGAAGGACAGCGCTTCATATGAAGTTACTCCCCCTTAAAGCATCAGATTTCGGCAAATCTGGTCATCCTGGCAAATCCGATCAGCTCCCATCAGGTGCTTAGTGACGAAAGGTGGTGGACCTACTCAGAAGTATAATGAACACTGCTTATGTATGAAACCCCTAAACACACAATGAAGACATCAGTCAGCTTGGTTCAAGCATGGACGTGAGTTTCTTGAAGATGATCCAAGACTCAGACTCCCTGCTGATGTTACCACAGGTGACAGGATTGCCCAGGCTAAGACAGATAATTGCACTAGAGATGGATGAGACAACAGCATTATGATAGCCTCTTACCTAGAAATGTTTTGAGGATCATCTACAAGCTCTTTTAAAATTGTTGACAGAATCTCTGTGGTCGCTATTGTCACGAATGGAAGCAATGAAACCATGATCTCCTTGGAAATCTTCAGTGAGGATCCAGCCAGCCTCCAAGTCTGAGGCTTGGATTCATCACTGGGACCATGAGAACAAACATTCGAGCACTAGAATTGCAGGGGTCTCCATCACCCGGGAGGATCTTCGTTCAACCATTATCAGGCAAGACTGAACTAAACTTCCACAGGGTTTCAAAGGGAGTCCTGGCAACTCACAGACTACTATTACAGGGGAGGATCATACCAACTTGATTAAAGTCCTGAGGTGGAAGAGCTCAGGGCTTTTATCCTAAGGCAGTAGTGTTCACAGGTTTAGATGATTTGATGTCAAGATTAACATTGAAAGTGATACCACACCTTGTGGTTAGAACCATTTTAAGTGCCCCTTTGTATTAACGTATTGAACCAAACTTGAACGTTTGTCCATAAATATTCTGTTGCCCATGTGGAGGTTAAAAGAACCAACCAAACATAAAATCAGCCAGTACATAAAAAATAGATATTGATGAATAATCACCTAAAAGGGCAAACTTGAATGTTTCTTTTTCTGTAACGTGAGAAGGGTCTGTTTTCAGGATTTGCATTCCTGGGCTGTGTCCAAGCCTTTCTCTTATCTCGTTTCTTACTGCTCCTGTTGAGTGTGCTCTCCATCACTCATTGTTACAGCATGTGCTTTGAGATTGTTTCCTTGAGCCTCACAGTGCAAGTGGCCTTCGGAAAGCCTCTCAAAGCGCAGTGAAGGGATGTGATGTGGGGAAGTGTTTCTGTGTTGCACCGATCAGGGTTTGTGTCACTAAAATGATGCTCTACTACAGACAGTAGTATGGAAATTGCCATTTTCTATTAAATTAATGGTGGTGGTAACAGAAGCAAGGGAGTTATGTGATTTTTGTGGATGCTCTTTGCAGACTTTGGGAGAACTTTGTACACCACTGTGCTCTTCAGGTGCCTTTTTAATAACCCTTTTAATCACAATATGAATTAATAAAAGGTGTCATAGTTGATTGGGGTAACAATAGTGCTAAGCTACAGTAGCTTGCTTCTACCAACACCCTACTTTTATTGAGGTAGTTTTGTGCCTCAGCAGTTAGAATGGAAAACAAGAATTCCACTGGATAGCAACAGTAATATATGGTGTGATATTCAATGAACCAGTTCAAACCTGCTAGTTTTATTGTGCACTACTTTCCAAACAACTCAAGTGCTCAAAAGCATCAGTTTCCTAGAGATCCCAGAATTGTCCAGAAAAGCACAAAATGAAGAGGCAACACCAGCATTTGAGGAAAGTTTAAAATCACATCACTAATGAAATTGGATGCAAAGTACATAAATGTGTTCATCTAAGCACCTTGTTCTGGCTATAATATTCAGCGAGAAACTAGATCATGTAAAATACGAGTCGTATAAACTTTCCTCTTCATCTTCTTTCTATCTATACGCACAAAATTTAACATACAGTACATACTGAATGAAACATCCTGCCCCTGACAGCCTGAACAGGTTGCAATAGTTTCTTGTGGATTGGTTTGTTCTGATATTTTCAAGCTATCGACAAAATGATAATACTATGATGTATGTAGGGGTTCTTGAGATACAAGGCACCACCACCTCACCCAGAGTAAATGATAAACCTGCAATACAGGTACCTTGATCTCTATCTTAATAACTCAAACTACAGGATTTGAAAAGGCCCCCATGTTTTTACTTGACTCCCTGTCTGTATCCAGTGTACTGGTGCCAGTTTGTGCATTTCAGCAGAATTTGAATACAGTTGCGATCATTGTTAGCCCACGAACTGAAGAGCTTGTTTCTATTGCCACAATCTCAGATTTAATCCAGCAGGAGTCTCCATCATGAGAGACACATTGAAATGTGTTGCAGGATTTCTCCACATGAAAAGCCTGACCCACATAAGTCACACAGAAAACAGCTACTGTTGGAAAGATTTTATTTGATTTAAATGTAATGTACTGAATAAATAAAAATTAATACAAAATTACACATCGATGTAGAATAGTTACATACTGTCTTCAGAATGAAAGGATTGACGTCAGAAGATTTAAATTAATGCAATACGACTTATATGAATGTCACTGTATAATATATATTGAGCAATATTCTCAACACATATCAGAGTTGATGTGTGTTTACAGCAGGAAAACATACAAGAATAATATTGCTATACTGCATATGTACAGTAGCGTGAAGTTTAATTATGCATTTTTCTAATTATGGTTTTCTTAATAGTGCATTATGATCGTTGGTGTTGTGTACATATTAGGCATATGTGAATGTTATTACTCATTTAATTTACTGGTATTAAGCATAAAGGCTAAAGGAAAATGTGTGTCATTTAAATAGAACAAAAGGCAAACAGAAGTGTGCTTGGATTTCTTAACAGAATACGTGTTAGGAGGAAAGGAGTGCTAAAATTAGTATTTCAGGGCAGAATTTGAATACTTAATTTATATGAGATTTACTTTAACGACTTCATAACCAACCTCGCCCCCCCAAGTCCAAAAAGAGAAAAGCTATAAGCAATATACCAATAGGTGAAAAAAGGTTTATTATAAAAAAGAAATAATATTTACATGTTTTTATTTTGTATCACATATATAATATAGAAAACAGCATAACTGAAAAAAATATAAATTATTGAGGGCCCGTTTCGGGTTTTCACCACACAGCAGAGTTCCATACGTTTAGCCCATAAAGGCAGGGCTGTTGATCGTGGTAAGTCTTGTACATGGTCGCGAACAGTGACGCTCTTATCAAGTCCTCCTCCGTGCCCACGCAAGGCAGTCCAGTGGCTCTTTTAAAGGGGTCTTTGCCATATTCGGTAGCGAGCTGTTTCCGTTTGGTTTTGTATCTCCTGTTTTGAAACCAGATTTTGACCTGTGTCTCCGTGAGCCGCAGGCTGTGGGCCAGGTGCGCCCTCTCCGGGGCCGACAGGTACTTCTGGTGGCTGAATTTCTTTTCCAGCTCCAGCACCTGCAAGTGCGTGAACGCCGCCCGGGAGCGCTTCTGCTTACCGCCTGAGCTCCGACTGTCCGCGGACCGGCCGCGGCCACACTCCGGGGAACTGCCACAAGGCGGTCTTTCGTTGCGGACTGCGGGGACAAAATCATTTGTTCAGCTGTTTTTCGGTTACAACACATCATGCCAACAATGTTCGATTTCCTATAAGAAAGGCAACACAGATTACAGACTTTATTTTTATGAAAGGCTATATCATCCCAAGGCCATTTAAGGTTATAACTTAAGGGTAATGATAATGCATTGTTTTTTTGTTTTCATTTAGGTTATTACAACATACAGTGAAATTAATGGGATAATGACAGTCCTTAAATTGTTATTTTTTAAAAATGTCTGTCATTGATCAGGACTGACTAGATTTAACAGATGTTTCCTGTCGTTTACTAGCTACATTGTAAGAGCGCAGATTTCAGGTAGCCCAACGGACCGATATTCTAGTTTATCGATTATTTTACACCCTGGCATTCACAACAACTTTTACAATAAAAACGTGAAATTGCGCCTTTAGAAATGTAATGCAAACTGTCTAGAATGGTTCTGCGCAAATCCTTCTCCCATCACCCGAGATTTAAAACTTATTTCCCCTTCCTTCCCCACGAAGATGAATTTGTAACCCGTTTAGATCTTCCGTTCGGAAGTTTGCAGAAGACTGTGGAGTTTCCTCACCGTTTCCCACAGCCTTCAAGTCCGTCGAGGTGTTTTTGTCGTGTGAGCCAGTTTCACGAGCATGGCTGAAAGACTCCTGGATGTCTTCGTTTGTGGAATCTGCACACGCAAAAGCCCTTTCGCCAGTGGCGCACCGTGTGTCCCGACCTGCCGAGATGCTGTCGGGGCTTTTATCGCGTTCCCTCGGTTCTTTGGCACAGGCGTACCTTGGGGTGCTCAAGCGTGACTCTTCCTTAAAGGCCAAAATGTCTTGAATAAGAAACGACGTTAACGGTTTAACAGAAGCAGACATTCTGTCAGCCACACAGCAGCTTGGTCCCACAGCAATAAACAGATTTTGTTCTATGATCAATAGGATCTTAAAACCGTTCTGCAGCTCTTTCCTTTGCGCCTCCTCGATTTATACAGGACTAATCGCAGACGTTGTCGTTCCTTCTCATTGGAAGGTGACTCATAGGGAGAATATCATTGGCTGGGTCGGAGCTAATGACAGAAACAGATCTGCTCAGTTCACACTTTTTTTTTTTTACCTGATAAATCACTACGGTGTTTTTATTTCGGATAGTCTATCCTTGCGCAGTGATGACATCTACAGTACTTTTCAATTTCATATGTTAATTGAGTTTCATATGTAGAAAATATGCATTGAACCTTTATTATTATTTATAGACAATCGCTATAAAGTTTTTAAAAAGATTTTCACGGATGTTAGGTCTGTATGTAAGATATGAATAGGATATTTATGATTGTAGGCAATCGTTACGTTTTTAAAATGTTTGAACGAATTTTAGTTTTATGGTAAAAAATACACATAGGACTTTTATGATTGTTTGTGGGCAATCGTTACGTTTTTAAATATTTTAACGGATTTCAGTGTTTTATCGTGATCTTTACGTTTTTTTCACTCATTGCATTTAAAAAAACGAACTGGCATCCTCGCAGAAATTAAACCATATTAAGCTGCACTTCGCAAATAATAAAAAGAGAAATTTGCACTGATTAACAGTGAATGCGCGTAGCCGTAGCAAATGTTAGGATACGTGAAACATGAAATATTTCAAAATGACAGCATTTTTTTAAAAATTATGTAGTGAAACTGTAACATATTGTATGCACTAGACATGTTCTGCCTCACAATCAGTCGTTAAACGACTTAACGACTAATAATTCTTGCACCTGTACAGTTTGTTCATGAACAATTAAACGACACGAAGACAATTTCCCCATTTGTAATATTATTATTTCTAAATCAGGTTTCCATTTGCGCTGGCAGGTAGGCTTGGGGAAAATAAAAGTATTGTGAATACGCCTGTTAATATATGCGTTTGAAATGTTCAGATTTGACAAAAATCACCGTTTACATTAACGGGAATTTCATGCACAGGACGGATTAAATGCAGCAGAAAAGTAAAGCAATACGAAACTTTTGCTTATCAATGGCAATTAGTATTATTTGGAAAAATAATTTTATGTGAGGACTACAGTACAATACTACATTACTTGAAAAGCATCAATTTGCTTTGGTGGGAAAACTGTTTTTTCTTTCACTCTGTCTACAGAAATGCAATTGGTATTACCTTTGATGCCTTGTGTTGGAGCATTTTATTCAAAATATTTCTAAACTAAAATTATGGCTTTCTACATCTTCACTGCATAATGACAAAGGATTGAGTAGATCAGACCATGTGCCATATTTGTTCTTATTACTTCTAAAATATAATGCTATATACTGTATATAACTTGTTACAAGTCATAAGGAAATGTTAGGCTATTAAATACCTACACACAGGTACACATATTGAAGAGTCTGTAGGACTGCAGGACCACTGTGTTGGATTTATGCTTAACCACACGTTAATTGATTTCAGCTTTCTATTTTGAAATTATTTGTAAGTTTTGTAAACCGACTGAATTGGCAATTCAATTAGTATCAACCCAGTTCTGACTTCCGTTTTCAGAACCACCCTCGTTTGGGCACGGTGCCTGAAATGTAAGATATTAGCCCTCTGGAGGAGGCAGAAATCGTGGGCGTGTCTTCTACTGTGTCATTCCCACCTGCGGCTGTTCTTCCTCCGCTGATCAGGAGGCAGGAGCGGTTTTCATGAGAAGCAATGGCCGATGTGGTGACGGAGTGGATGTGGAACGTTTGTGCACTGACATATTTAGAAACCGAAATCCACGAAGTAGGTTATTTTTTACATTCAGTACTGACCAAGGCAATATGTTGAAAAAAAGTATAAACAAGCCCAATTAACCTGAACAGCCCAATTAAATCACCAATTAGCGCTGGAGATATAGAGCTCAGCTGGAATGGAATTCAGAAGACAGTGTTTCTCCAGGACTGGAGCTGGGAAGCCGTTCTGTAGACAATGGACTGTAGGCTTACTCTGTTACATTTGAAATATCATTTAATACCAAATAACAGATTGTCTCCAGTTTACATGTTGACCATAGGTTGTGTATAATTGGATGTTAATGACTGATACACCACAACCAATTTAATTTAATAAGAACAAAGACATTTTTAACAAGAGCAAAGCAGTGAACTGCAGGAAGGTGGGTAAGTCTGTTGTGTGTTTTGTCTTTGAGCATTAATTAACCTACACTTAGATGTAACTAGCAAAATAACAGTAGTTTCTGAGGTTATAAACATGAGATAAGATAACGCCTCAAGGTCCTGGTGAGGGTTTAATTCATTGTGCATCCCAGTAAACAGATTACTGAAAAACACTGGTTCCTATGGCTGATACAACATCGTTCTTTCTCGTTAGTGCCATTTATTTTTTTTACTTTTTTTTATTTTTTTTAGCTGTAGTGCTCATTTCAAGTTGCATCACGATGAGCAGTTCCAGAGTTGTGATGCATTTCTGTAGCCTTAGTTTTCACTTCAAGTGGAGCTGAGGATGCTGTTATTAAAGAGTATTGATGCTCATAAAAAAACAAAATGTGCTGAAATAATTTTTGGTATGGTGCCAACTGGCAACATTCAAGTGCAAGCTCCTGTGCGGAGCAGCATATAAGGGCTATTTGATTCTGAATACTGCTACACTGTATTTGGGTCCAGTCCAGAGTCATTTCAGAACCATCCATCTATTTCATTATTTTACAAAATGCTGATAAATGCTTTACCAAAAGATTTCCAGCATAACTATTTCAAATATATACAAACATAACCTAAAAACATATATCATTAATGTTGAGCTAGAATTACTTTCTGCAGTTATTTCTAGTCCATCTTTAATAAAAGTTTATCCTCTTTTAATTTACATTATGTGGTCTCTGGTGCAGAGTCCCCTAGTTGCTCTGAGGTCAGTGGTGTATGGTACATATATTGTGGAAGCACACAGTTTTTTTTTTCTGGTTTTGCATTCTGATATATTTTTACAGTGTTGGTTCTGTCCTCATACACCAGATTACCCAGCTACAGCGGGAGAAATTTCTCCAAAATTCAAAATATGTCAAGAGACATTTCAGTAAGGATTTCATATGGTTTTGCAGATCATTCAAAAATTTCACTTTGTGGGGGAAAAAAAGGCAATGGAACAACAACAACAATAATAATATAGAAACATAGGCATGGATGTTTTTTGGAGGGTGAGCCAGAGGACTCCAGACCAGAGGGTTGTGAGTTCAAATCCAGCTGATGCTATGCCTCCTAGCAAGGTATTTAAAGCAAACCCACCTGGTTTAATCTGAACCATCATTTGAGAAAATATGGTGATTGTAACCTCTTCAAGCTGCTTTGCTTAAAGGCATCAGATATATTAATTCATAAAGATCTTTACCACTTAATGATGTGACCTACAGCTTTGTGTCGTCGACAGAAGGCCTCTGAAAACAGTTGAAACTGGCTCGGAGAAGGAAACTGTGGTGTGTTAATGTCACCCCATCTGTTATACATCCCTCATAAATAGCTCGGCTATCATCATCATCACAAAGTAAAAATGTACAACTCAGTCAAAGTTAGACCCAGAATGTGTCAGATTGGGATTTCTTGTTTTTACTAGCCTGATATTGTATCTGTGGCATTATTTGTGTAGCATAGTTGTTGTTTACTTTTACAGGGCGGAGAATGAAGAATTTTTCTGGGTCAGGGTTAAAGTGAGTAGTTTATTTGTTTTTCAAGATGTTTCTAAATATTTCCAAACTACTAACAATGTCTGGTTAGAACCTGAACCAGTTTAATTATCATCATCATCATAATCTTATGGCATTGCTATTTTGATTTTTTATCTGTTTGGGTATTTCTTGATGATGTATTAACCACAAGTCCTGTCTATGTATCTGGTTATGGTACCTTAATAAACACAGAGTCATACCCTTTAGGTCACCCAGGAAGTTTTGTTTCACAGAACAGTCCTATGTGTCATGCAATTCTTTTTTTTTAATCAAGTGATTTGCTGTTTTCTGTACAAGATACCACCCAACACCAACATTGAATATTAACGAAGTCAATGTAGATGCTTCTTAGTGCAGTGTGTATCGCGCTAAAAATTAACTTCTTCTGAATGCCATGTAAGTAAAAAGAACTGATATTTTTGGTTGAAGAAAAAGGAATTATGCAACCCTCCTCCCTCCTACCCTGTGTGTTCAGTAGGAATGAATGAAATGTATTCAATGCTGGCTTGTACAGGACAGTTGTAAGATAAGACTATCTCCCAGATAACAACTCAACACAGCTCTGGATACAGCTCCTGGGACTCTTATCTGTTTGGCTGGTAAACAGCTGTGAAAGATTTATTGTGCAACGGGATAGCTGTAGTATTTTCAGATGTGCCCTGAGTGTCAGAGCACCCTCACCCTGGGTTCTGGGGAGTGAATTAAGTTCCTGTTGAGCAGGGCCCAGAGAGTCTTGCAGTGGTGGAGCTGTCTGGGTGGCCCAGTGGGAGTTTCTTCAGCAATGTGGCCAAATCATTAGCTGTGGTACTTCACCTGACGCACACATTCTGCTCCATTTGTTTGTTTGCTGGCCCGCTGTACTGGACTGACCTCTTTAGGTTTAGGTAGGGAAAGGTCTGGAGCTTCCTCGTCTCCAGTCCCCCTTTACAATAACAGAAGCCCCCAGAAGTTTAAACAGGCAGCACAGACAAAAAGTCTGACCGCTTGGGCTGTGCTTCACTCTTCCTGAACTGCTGCCTCTCTTGTCACTGCTGACCTGGCCCAGTGATGTCTGGGATGTCTGTTTTTTTTTTTGCTTTGCTTTTTCCGTTGATTTCTTGCAATTTTAAGAAATTAACAGCTACAAAAAAAAAGACCATACACAGGCGCTGAGATGCCTAATTAAATCCAAGCACATGTATCTTCCCAGGTCGTTAGAATAAAATGGCACTTCTTCATATGGAGGGTCAGAAGGTCGTGAGAGCAGTTATCATGATCAATATGGA